TAAATTCACTTTGAATGTCCAAGGTTTTAATTAATGTTTTGGTACATCAGTATTGGTTAATACTAATTAAAACATGGTCAACACTATTTCACTGAAGAACAAGTAAAGTCTAGTTTGCTACCTGAAAAGAGTTTTTTATTAAGGGATCTAAAAGGATGATAATTTTGGATTGTCCCTTTTTCAGGGGTCTTCACAGCGGTAGTCCTCACAGGCAGAGTTCTAATGCAGCCAAACCTGGGGTTTGGACCTTTTATTTCACCTTTTATTTGAGATTTCTCAGAGTCTTGACTCTCTCAAGTGTGTCCTTTGGATTTTAAAGGCAGCTGACATTTTCTTAGTTGCAATTAATTCATTATTAATATCACCCAGAATCTATCAGAGACCGCTGCAGTAAAGAGACCACTTACAAACGTGTTTATTTTTAATGGGAATTCCTCTCAACGATTGACCAAAACAGTCACAAGAATTACTATCTAAGGTTTAGATCACCTTTATGTCAGACACCACCTTCTGTGGTCTAATGTAGACCCTTAGCTGTCAACAGGAAAGATTTGTCAGTCAAAATATTCCTAAAAAGGAACTACCCCAAATATAGGTCCACCGTTGGTCACCTCCCAGTCATATTTTGCCAAAACCATTGTTGGTCAAAGATAATGGGGCCACATTTGCCAGTTAAACGTGGGTCATTTTACCCTTGTGTCCATTTTGCCTGGGCCAGATAAAAGCCACCACTGATGTGATATTGCCAGGCATGGCCCATGTCTGCGTACTATCTGGGTTGGTGCTCTGGAGCGGTGACATATCTTCTCATTGTTAAGCACAGCTACATCTTGACTTAACTGCAGAGAACAGGCCTTTGAGATCCCTGTGTGGATTGGTATCACAGGTAAACAGGCTCAAACTGGTGTAAAGCAATCAGTTCACTGGGACTCCCGCTCATTCATGAAGTGGGTGATGTTTATTGATTTACCTTGTAATCCTCTCAGTGTCAGTGTCGTCAGTGACGGCGGAGGAAAGGGGAACGGTGAGTCAGATGGAGGACGTTTTCTGACGGGAGAACGAGACAACAGATTAGCTTTAATGGGATACTGGTATTCATGTTCTCCTGTGGGCTTTGACTACTGTATATGGGCTCCAGTCTACTGGAGCAGAAGATCATTACTGTAGATTTGGAACTTTAGTGATTGTGGAAGTCAGTCAATCAAGTTTTAAAATAAAAATATATATCTTAGTGAAGAAATTTGAACATTTGAGTTGTTGAATAAATCTGATCTTAAATGAGGTCTATATTTGATAATGGTAAAAATGAATAAATATTTCCACTTTATGAAAGTTAACTGACTATAGCAGTAAAACATATGAGCACATAAAATGGATTACTGCCTTCATAATCTGCATGGGAAAAAATCATTTCTTAGCACTGGTATAAAGACTCAATGAAGAAAACTCTTATATTTTAATATGTACATATACAGATAAAACCAATGATAAAATAATACAAAAAGATCAATGGCTTTATTGTGCAGTTGTTGTTAAGCTTCTAGTACATTCCAAAACATCTGCATTCAAACATCACCGACAACTAAGCCTTTTCTGTTGTTAAACAATTACAAATCCCAATCAATATTGTCGCTCCCCACTATCTGCTGTAATGACACCGTTAATTGAATTCCTAATGATGTTTAAAGCAAAGTTATTTTAATAAACATCTTTCAGCCATTGTTCTTAATGAGAATAATGAACGGGCTCATCTGGAACACACAGCTGTGGTCTCAGCGATGTGGTATTTCAAAGTATGTACAGTGAAGTCCTGACCTCTGGTGT